GCAAAGTGGGGCCAGCCCAATGGGTAGTTGTGATTCCAGGTCACAATTCTCTCCCCTCTCCTCTGCTTTCTTCCTCCACTAGAATAGGTGGCTCACCACTGGCCCATAGGAGACTTGACTGTTTGGACTTCTTTTTGAACCCCAACCTGACCTCTGTGTGACCTTGACCCAGTGTCTTTACATCTCTAAACCTTAGTTTATTCATCCAAAATGAGGATGTTTTACCGTATTTAACGAAACAGTCTAATAGTCTAATAGCTGGCACAAATGAGCACCAATGTCGCATACCATGTACTGTTGTTATCAAAGTTAAATCTGTCTCATGGTTCTCTGAATACATCTATGCAACCCTATCTTGACACTATCCTTTGCTTCTCTCTCCCCTCCCCTCCACGACCTTTCCACTCATCCAGCATTTCCCACATTCCTCCCCTTGGGTAGGCACACCTGGAAGATAGCAGACCTGTCACCCAGTGAGTATCGCCACATGTCTCCTGGGCTCTGAGAGGTGTCTATCCTGGGTACAGGGGGATAGCTGGGATGGAGGAATCAAGTCAAGGGAGTGTGGAAGAGAAGCTGGGAAGAGATGCAAGGGCCAGGAAAGGAAGATATGTCTGAGCTGAGTCTGACAGTTGAACCAAGTAGACCACAGGTGAGAGCTGGCAGGGAGGAGGGGAGGGAACCCCAGCAGAGAAGCAGCTCCAGATCAGGCTTAAATAGAAGGAATAGCCTGGTGTGGCTCTAGAACAGGTAGGGGCTATAGAATAAACTGGGTAGCTCATTCTTTCTGCAGGCCTCCCCAGCATCCTGCCTCTTCCTGTTAGCTGCAGGAACCAGGGAAGGAGTTGGGGCAGGGTTTTAGGAGAACAGGCCATTTGGGGCTGTGTGGCTCTGGTGTGGCCTGGCCTGGGCCTGGGGCTTTCACAGTTGAGGGAGTAACAGGTAGAGCTGAAAGGTCCAGGAGACTCCGTGGCCCACTCCCCAGGGTGGAGGAGAATGTGACTCCCATGACCCAGGGTTCCCTGCCGTTATCACAGCATCTGCCCTCCAGCCAGGGAGGCTGCTGCTGTGTCCCAACAGCTAACTCAACCTGCCTCTCACCTCACCCTGAGGCTCTGAGGGGGTAGTGGAAGGTGTGAAGGCCCCCGGGTTCCTGGGGGGTGGGGGGTGGGGAGGAGGAGTGGCCTTACCAGGATTAACTGGTGTGCTGGAAATTCCCCAGATGGTCAGGAACAGTAAGAGGCTTGCCAGCTGCCACATTCCGGAGTTGCTGACACCTGTCTGAGGAGAGTTTCTGAGCTTTCGGCAGCCCCACCAGCCCTGCTCTGCCTGCCACCCCCCAGACAGGAGCCAAATGAAAGGGCCTCCCATGTATGCTGATTGTCAGGGCAAAAGCTAGGATTGGGGATCCCTGTCCACTAAGCAGACAGCCACCTGGCACTTCGTTCTCCTCCATTTGGGGCTAAGGTCACACCACCTGTGCTGAGTCTGAAGGGAGAAGAGAGAAAATGAAAAGGGCATGGAGTCCCCGGTGAAGATCAAAGGGGACTTGGCAGAGAAGGGCCATGGCAAGTGTGCCCAGAAAGTTCATGTCCTCCCCATTCTGTGCTCAGTGTTGGAGCAGGGAGCAGTGCCTTTGCCGATCTACTGGGCAGGCCATGAATAATAGCTAACATTTATTAGACATTCATGGTGTCTTTCAGGCAATTTGTACATGGTGCAGAGGGCAGGACACCAAATCAGACCACTTAGTGCAAATCCCAGCTCCAGGACAGCAACACTGGGGCAAGAGACCTAACTGCTTCATGCCTCATTTTTGTCATTTGTAAAATGGATAGAAAAATTTTACTTCTGCCTTATATGGTTATTGTGAGAATTAAATAAGTTAATCCACAAAAAGCTCTTAAAATACAGTTTGCACATAGCACATGCTCAGTAAACATTAACTATTATTATCTCAGTTAAGGCTCACAGCCACCTAAGATATAATAGGTTTGATATTGTCACCCTATTTCATGGAGGGGGAAATTGAGGCTCAGAGGTATGAAGTAGTTTATTAAAAACCCATAACTAGGAGGTGGCAGAGCTCAGACTCAAGCCCAGGCCTGTGTGGCTCCAGGCCTAGGAACCTTAACTCCTTCCCCAAACTACTGGGTACCCCACAAGACCACAGAGGTAGCCCTGCCAGCTCGAAGACAAGAGCCTTCCACTGCCTCCAAGACTGAGTGTGAAGGCCTGCCTGCCCCATCTGCACCCTCACCTGACCTCATTCCCCACCATCACTGACTCTGAAGCTGTTTCTGATATTCGTTTAAACCAGAGGCCCCAGATTTAGAGGTGAGGTAGAGAGGGAAGAATGGAGGGTCCCAGGCTCTAAGCTGCCTCCGGTGATGGCTCTGGGCCCTGGAGGTCCTCAGCCAACTCCCACTTGCCTCAAAGTCTGGAAAGAAGGCCCCCTTGGAACTGCGGCACCCAGGCTGAAGGAATGCCAATCAGTGCCTTGGCCTGGCTGGTAGCAGAGCCCCAATTTCCCTTTGCCCCAAGCTCCAGCTAGTCTCTCAAACCCTGAAGGATCTAGCCCTCACCCCGGCTCAGCCCTCCTCTGGCCCACCTCACAGACCTGCCTGGAAGGGGACTTACTGGGGTGGGCCGTGGAGAAACTGCAAAGTCGCCCTCCTGCCGCCATGACAGCCTGGAACTCAAGTTAATCCATAACTGCAAATATTTGCTTGCTTGGCGCTCAGTGCTGAGGCCTCCCTCTTTACAGATAAACAAACAAGTTCCTAGCTCAGAATGTCTCGGGTTGCCCAAAGCCCACCTTGCCCCTACAATGGTGCCATCCAAGAGGAAGGGAGAGGAGGGATGGACACCGTCAAAACTGCACACAGATGTGGTCTCTTTTTAGCCTCATAGTGGCTGGCCGAATGAGGGACACTGTTTGCATTTTTCAGATGGAACATTTCTACCCAGAGATATTGCAGTTTGCCCCAGATCAGCATAATTGGTAATGATTCCATATTTCACCAAATCTAGGATGCCATTATTATAATATATGCTCATTTTATGTGCCAGTATAAAAGAAAAGACACACGGCCAGTTACATAGCGGCATTTCTGCTTTTTGTGATGTAAAATGAAAAGAAATGCCTCTCAGGGTCGCTACCATATGGGTGCTGGATACTCTCTAGACCCTTAGCTCCAGTCACTCCTATATCTCCCCTGACAACTGCATATGGCTATTCCTATAACCTCTATTTTGCTTATGAGGACACTCAGAAACCTTTTGTTACTTGCCTAAATTCACTGAGCTGCTATGTGGCAAGCCTGAATTAGAACTCAAAACTTCCTGGCACCTCCTGGCCACCTTTGTGAGAAAAGTTAAGAAGATTCCAGAAAGGCTGAAGTCAGTTCGTGGCTGGGATGCTGGAAAGAAGGGCAGAAGTACAGGCTCCGATTGGGAGCTTTTACCTCGGCCCTGCAGTCTGTCAGTATTCACTAGGCATCTTCCTTTCTTGTACCTGCTGTCTGGAGATGCACCCTTACTCTGTACCCTTCTTGGAGGACTTGGCCGCTCTTCAGAGTCCCAGCTCCTGCATGGGTCATGTGACCCCAGGCTGCCGCTTCTGGTGACTGACTGCACAGGAAAGTCATTGGACCCAGATGTCAATCAGATTCCATACCCCAGGCCCCAAGAGTAAAGCCTCAGAGCCCTCATTCCACTGGGAGCATTGTACTCAGAAGGTTCTGAATCAAAGTCTGAGGAAGGTACAGACCTGCAGAGAGAGGCTGAGCAGGAGGCCACGGAGATCAGGAGAGTTTGAGGGAACAGCGAGGCAGTCTCCTACCTCATGATGAGGAGTCACATCCTTGCTTTGGGTTCATGAGGGTCCCCCTACCCTCCGAGAAAATCCTCTCTTTTCTTAAGTTTCCTTAAATTGGCTGGAGCAGCTTGTGTTCTTCCTACTGAGGTAATGCACCATGCTTGGGCTGTTGGAGGTACAAGGTCCTCATGCTGCCCACACGACCCACTTGAGAAAACAAGAGCAACAGGGTGAAAATCTAATAAGACAGGCCCCTGGTGGGGAGGCTAGGTGGCAGGTACAGATGGTGATGCTTATAGGACTCGAAGGAGAGGGAAATGAGCACAAGCTAGGGTGGCCAAGGAAGGCTGCCTGGAGGAGGTATAGCTTCAGGATGGACATCAGAGGGCGGGTAATAGAGGAACCACCCTCAAATGAGGAGAGAGCAGGAGGCACAGGAGATGAGCAGTGGGGGAGGTATTGGTGATGAGTTGAGACAGAGGAGAGGGGAAGAGGATGTAACAGTTTGGAATAGAGCCTATGGCAAGTGGGGAGCCTGTGACTGTTTGTGAGGGTCTGTGGTAGCTGCCTAGAGAAGAGGAGACATGGTCCTGACAGCTCAGGCAGGAAGCATGGAGACTATATGCATAACCACATACTCAAGGGGCAACTTGCACAGCTGAAAAACTTGTAAAAATGCCTGCACTCATGTTTTTGCTCCAGGTGCCCTCCCGCACAAGTCACCTCTAATCTCCCTGGGTCTGGGGTGTGTTCTTACCTAGTGTTGGCCTTGACTCTTGTAATAGGTACTAGAACCCACCTTGAGCTACCTGTACTCACCAGAGTAGTTAGAGGTGAGCTGGTGTTATGGGCTAACAGAATGACTTCACTCTCCCGTCCATCCTCTCTGGCATGGAAGCCACACTGGTGGTGGTGGGG